AGCAGTTGGGCTGGAGAGATGGCTTAGAGGTTAAGAGCACTAACTGCTCTTCCAGAGGTCCTGAGTTCAATTCCCAGCAACCACATGATGGCTCACAACCATCTGTAATAAGGTCTGGTGCCCTCTTCTGGTCATACATGCTGTATACATAATAAATAAGCAAATCTTTAAAAAAAGAAAAAAAAAACTTTAAAAAAAAGTTTACTTCACTGCAGCAGCAGTAAAGCCATCCAGAGACTAGAAGACAAGCTGCGTGGGCTGGAGAAGTAACCCAGGCCCCTTGGAGGAGCCCAGAAGAATCGTGAGTGAATCCCAGACATTGGACATTGAGTTATTTACACTGTTGGAGTTTGGTTTTGGTTGGTTCAGATTGTGACAGTGCCCTGGTTCTTCCCTGTTGGAGAAAGTGTTTAATTTAATTTTGTTTTTTTTTTTTTACAGGAGCCTATAGCTGAAAGGCTTTGAACTTTTTTTTTTTTTTTTGAGAAATTTTCTGTGCGGGCGGTGGTGGCACACGCCTTTAATCCCAGCACTCAGGAGGCAGAGCCAGGAGATCTCTGTGAGTTCAAGGCTAGCCTGGGCTACAGAGTGAGTTCCAGGAAAGACACAAAGCTACACAGAGAAACCCTGTCTCAAAAAACCAAAAAGAAGAAGAAAAAGAAATTTTCTATTCATTTTACATACCAATCACAGATTCCCCCTCCCCTCCCTCCTCCTACCCCCCAGCCCTCCCCCTCAACTCACCCAGCTTTGAACTTTTGAAAGAGATTTTGGATTATTTTTTAATTTTATTTATTTATTTCTCAGAGCTGAGCACTGAACCCAGGGCCTTGTGTTTGCTAGGCAAGCGCTCTACCACTGAGCTAAATCCCCAATCCCAGATTTTTTTTTTTTTTTTTGAAGAGTGAATGTTTTAAAGAGACTGATTTTTTTTTTTTTTGTTTATTTTGTTTTTTGAGGTAGGGTTTCTCTGTGTAGTACTGGCTGTCCTGGAACTGGATCTGTAGACCAGAGTGGCCTCACAGACATCTGCCTCTGCCTCCTGAGTGCTGGGATTAAAGGTGCTGAGACTGAATTTTTAATATGTTTGAATTTGTAAAGACTGTGGGCCTTTTAAAAGTTATTTCTGTTTTTAATGTGAGATCTTGGAGAAACTAAAGTCATCTGAGAGGAGGAAGAGGAGGGAACCTCAACTGCCTCCATAAGGGTATTTTTTTCTTTTCTTTTCCTTTTCCTTTTTTTTTTTTTTTTTTTGTGGTGGTTTTTGAGACAGGGTTTTTCTGTGTGACAGCCTTGGCTGTCCTGGAACCTATGAGGAGGTCCTAGCCCACTGTGGTGATGCCATCTCTGGGCTGGTGGTCCTGGTTCAAATCCTGGGGAGCAAGCCAGTAAGCAGCCCTCCATCATGGCCTCTGTCCCAGCTCCTGCCTCCAGGTTCCTGCCCTGCTTGAGTTCCTGTCCTGACTTCCTTAATGATGTGGACGTGTACACCAAATAAACCCTTTCCTCCCCAAGTTGCTTTGGTCATGGTGTTTTCTCTCAGCAATGGTAACACCAACACCTGGAGGATTTGCAGGATGACGGAAATATGGTTGTGGGACAGGACTGACGTTCCTCCCTCCAGGTTGTAGCCAAGGTATGTGATCTGAGGACCACACAGTGGAGAGACTTCTTGGCTGAGACTCTGTACTCCAGGGATTGGAAGCATTCTAAAAGGCCTACTGTTGCCTGTCCACATTCCTCCTCAGTGGGAGAAGCTACGAGGAGGCTATCTATACCTGGAAGCAGGGTGCTTTGTGGTTATTTTTGTCTACTTTTAACACAGCACTCAGGGCCCCATCAAACGATGCTGGTGAGTCCTTGAACCCCTCCTGGTCTCTTTCCCTCATTTCCTCTCTTGTCTGTTTCCCCAAGGGCAGAGATCACAGCGTGGGAGAGTTTCCTTCCCTGTCTGTCTTCAACTGGATCTCAGTTATAAACTTTCTGAGCAGTTTTCAAAAGTTGAGACCTATTCATCTCTTTACATCCCTCTAATTTCTGGAGATTTCAACTTATGCCTGGGGCCAACTACATAACAAAGGCAATATGAGTGGCTGTCGGGGACATCTGAGACTGGGGGTGGTGGTGGTAAATACCTGGTCTGTCTCCGAAAACCCAGCCAGCAATTCACCGGGTCCGTGCATGACCTGTCTTATCCTCCCAATAATGTTTGGTGAACCAAAAATGTCCAGCGACCTCTTACCTTTTTGGTTTTAGGATCCCAACTGGGTTGGGCAGACAGAAAGGTCCACTCTATACGGGCCTCTGCATCAGGGAGTATCCCCAGCCCACGAGCCAACTTTCTACTTTCCAGAGGGATTCCATCTTGCCCCTTGGCTATAAACAGAGTGGCCAGGAGCTGCTGGCAATCACCCCAAATCAGCTGGTGTGCATAGAAAATTTTCCAAAAGGCAGGCCAGGCAGGAAGCAGAGAGCTCATGGCTTGGGGATCTATTTCTGCTCCCTGCACACACTCTGAGGCCCTCCACACCTCCACACAGAGAACAGGACCAGGACCAGGATTGGGACCTCGAGTGGGAGTCAAGAGATTAAACAAGCCAGAAACAAGTGCTCCCTAGCAGGAAGAGGTGGCGACATCAATTTCCTAGGGCAGAGCTAAGAGAATAGATGGAAGTTTGGGGGTTTCTCTAGGCAGCCTGGCCAAGGCAAAAGGACTCAGGTCCCCAATAAGAGGGCACAGGTCTTAAGCAGGTGGGATGGGGGTACCACACGAGAGAAAGCCTTTGGTTGGGCAGCCCAGCATGGCCTGTGAGCTTTGGGAAATCATGGCTGCCTGGAAGGGGAAGTGGGGGCCGCAGCTGTGATCTCGGGGTGGCTCACTCCCCCTTCCATTTTAAATCTGTTTCTCCAACCAACAGAACTGACAGAAACACACAGACACACAGGGAGACACAGTCATACAGAGAGACACATAATAAAAACAAACAGGGGTAGCCACCACACATTCCCACACCTGAACAGACCAGGCAAGTCCACTGATGTATTACAGAGATCCCCAATACAGGATCTATACTCACAGCCAATCGGCCCTCTTGTTTCCTAACCACATGGTGCCTCTTACACATTAAACTTACCTTAGAAGGTGTTCAAACCAGATGACTTTCAATTTGCCTTTTTTTTTTCTTTTGGGTGGCAGCATTGTGGTGCCTCTGGAATGCTCAGCAGAGATAAGTCTTAGATGATTTTCTTGGGGCCCTGGAACATCTCAGGATGTGTTCTCCCTAAGAGTCCTCTCCAGCTGATGCACTTTCCCCCAATCTTGTAGGTCCCAAGGCCTCTAAGTGTCTGGGTCCAGTCTCTGGGGTTCTCACATAGAGCCTCCAAATGTTATGGGTAGTCCACCTGAGATGACTACTCAGACACAGTTTATAACCTATTAAAAGTCTTTACTCCAACCAGCTTGGACTACACTCAGGTTTTTGGACCTAAGTGTAGCACCACATGTCCAGAGCACAGGGTCTTATGAAGGCAGAACTGAGCTGCCGGGGTGAGGGTAGGAGGGCTCATGTAAGCAAGCAATTTAACAGAAGCTAAAACAAGCAGTTAACTGGAGGTGATCCTGCACAAGCAGGCAGTTTAGCAGAAGCAAAGTATCTTGACCTTGGGGTCCTAAAATAGTGTTGGGTAATTTTCCATAGGATTTTCTACTAAAGAGATCAAATTCTACTTAAACCTGAAATGACCTCAGTAAGAATACAAGATGGGGGCTGGAGAGGTGGCTCAGCGGTTAAGAGCATCTGGCTGCTCTTCCAGAGGTCCTGAGTTCAATTCCCAGCAACCACATGGTAGCTCACAACCATCTGTAATGAGATCCGGTGTCCTCTTCTGGTCTGCAGGCATACATGCAGATAGAACTCTGTATACATAATAAATAAATTAAATCTTTTTTAAAAAAAAGAATACAAGATGGAGGGTTTGGGGATTTAGCTCAGTGGTAGAGCGTTTGCCTGGCAAGCGCAAGGCCCTGGGTTCGGTCCTCAGCTCTGGGGGGGGGGGGGAGGGGAAGAATACAAGATGGAGAATCCTCTGCACTGTCTTGCCTTGTGTCTTAGTCGGGGTTTCTATTGCTGTGAAGAGACGCTGTGGCCACAGCAACTCTTATAAAGGAAAGGATTTAATTGGGTTGTTTACAGTTCAGAGGTTCAGTCTATTATCATCATGGTGGGACATGGTGCTGGAGAAGGAGCTGAGGATTCTACATCTTTGATCCACAGGCAACAGGAAGTAAACTGTGTCTCACTGGGCATGGCTTGAGCATATATGAGACCTCAAAGCCCACCTCCACAGTGACACACTTCCTCCAACAAGGCCACGCCTACTCCAACAAGTCCAAACCTCCTAATAGTACTGCTCCCTTTGGGGTTCATTTTCTCTCAAACCACCACACCCTGTCAGATGGGGAAATACCCAGTAGTGATATAGCTGTGGTCATATGGTCACTCTCTTTTTTGAATTTTTTGAGAGATCCTTCCAAACTAACTTCCATAATGGCTGTATTAATTTGTTCCCACAACACAAGAATCACAAGCCTCAGGAATCAACAGATGGGACTACATGAAAATAAAGTTTTTGCATAGCCAAAGAAACTATTAGCAGAGAAAACAGTCCATAGAATAGGAGAAAATCTTTACCAGCTGTACTTAGACAGGGGACCGATATCCAAAATTTAAAAGGAACTGCAGAAACTAAATGCAAAGTATATTAGTTACTTTTCTGTTGCTTTAATAAAATACCATGAGCAAAAGCTCTCATATACACCACAAACACCAACCAAAATGAACAAACTGGTAGGAGGGAGAGGCTATACAATCCCAAAGCCCACCCCAAATGATGTACTTCCTCCAGCAAGGCTACAGCTCCCTAAACAGTACCACCAGCTGGGAGCCAAATGTTCAAATACCCAAGCCTATGGGAGCCGTTCTTCAAACCACCACATTCCATTCCCTGGCCATATCATGGCCATATCATAATGCAGTATTTATTTAGTCCAGCTTAAAAGTCCCTAAAGTCTTTCACAATTTCAACACTGTTTAAAAATTCAAAGTCTCTCCTGATATTAAAATGCTTAGACGGTTCTTCAGATCGACTACTCCTTCCGGCTTTGTTGAATGCAGCTTTCCTCTCTCTGGGGGCTGCTGGTTCCACTCCCTGTCTGCAGCTTCCCTCTGCAGACATCCCATGGCTCTGGCATCACCATAGACATAGACAGAGATGCTGCAGCCCAGCTTGAACTATTCTGCTTTATCTATATACAGTTTTTGCTCCAGAAGAATAAAATACCACTGTCTTAACTTTAATTCATAACCAGACATGCTCAGCTGCTTCCACAATGCTCCCTACTCTCCCGTATTTCCCGTGCCCCCAAGTCCCCGTTCAGACGCCATCTGTGGGAGGCCAGCTCGCGCCTTTTCAAGGGTTCCTATGAGTGGGAGAGAGGAATAAGAAAACATTAGGTAGAAAGAGAGATCTAGATGGCGAGAAGAAAGACAGACACAGGATGGCTTTGGGAGGACCTGGGTCAACACGAAATGGCCTTTTCCATTTATTCAAAAGGACTTTTTATGACAATGCCAAGGGTGGGGCAAAAGACCTCCCCCTTGCTAGACACAGCCAAGTGCAGACCCTTCCAAATACCTGGTAACCATGTCTGTGGTCAAATCATCTCCTTTTGCAGCCCTGCTGGGTAAAGCAAGCTCAGATTCTCTGACCCTGAGTAATTTGGGTCTCCACAGTGAATGTGAGGGGTACAGTAAAGCAACTGAAATAGATGCTCCGTGGGTGAAAAGGAAAATGTTTATTCCAAACTGTCAAGGCTGTCTGCCCTTTTTAGAATTTTATTGCTGTGAAGAAATGCCATGACTACAGCAACTCTTACAAAGGAAAACATTTAATTGGGTGGCTTACAGTCTCAGAGGTTCAGTCCATTATCGTCACGGCAGGAAACACGGTGGCACACAGGCAGACCTGGTGCTGGCAAGGTAGCTGAGATTCTACATCTGGTTCTGCAGGCAACAGGAAGAGACTGCCACACTGGGTGTGGTTTAAGCATCTGAGACCTCAAAGCCTGCCCCCAGGGACACACTTAATCCAACAAGGCCACACCTCCTAAAGGTACCACTCTCTGAGCCTATAGGTCCATTTTTATCCAAACCACCACACCACACTGTCTCTCAGGAAAGCAGAGAGAAGGGACCGGGAACAAATCTTCAAATAAGGGAACAGTTACCTACGAAAAAGGGAGCCACTGGGCTGTGGTGGGAGGCTTTGGAGTATATAGCAAGGATCTGTGTGTAGGGGCTGCGGGGGCCTCTAGGCTGACATGGAACTTGATATGCTGATAGGCACCACAGGCATGTGTTAATGGAGGAGCCATATGTCCCTTTTGCTAAAGATAAGGAAGATGACTCCTTTTTTGGGGTTGGTTTTGTTTGTTTGTTTGTTTATGTTTTGTTGTTGTTGTTTTGGGACAGGGTTTCTCTTTGTAGCCCTGGCTGCCCTGGAACTCGCTCAGTAGACCAAGCTGGCCTTGAACACACAGAGATCTGCCTGCCTCTCTGCGCGACTAAAGGTGTGCGCCGCCACCCCCCAGAGGAGACTGACTCATTTTGACAAGTGGGAGCCAGCTTCCCAAGCCCGTAAGGGAGTGCTGGCTTTGGTCAGAATTTGGGGAAGGAGTTTCTTCAGACCTGACAATTTGGACAAGGGCAAAAGCAGCCACATTCTTTGCCAAAAATATCACAAAAATGGTCTCTAGCCCAGTGGCTACTATTGTTTCCCTCTGTAACTCTTGAGCTGGGCCTCCATAGTCTACATTCCTCGCCTGTCTCCTGTGCTCCTGATAGGGCCATACTGCCTGCAGCAGCATCCAATCACTTCCCTAGTTCCAAGTCCCAACATCTTCCACATTTCTCAAAACAACAACAACAACAACAACAACAACCAAAAAAAAAAAAAAAAAAAAAAAAAACAGTATGATCGTCCCATCAAAGCAATACCCAGTCCCTGGTACAAACTTCTGTTATTTACTGTTCTATTGCTGTGAAAAGACGCCATGACCAAGACAACCTATCAAAGAAAGCATTTACCTGGGGGCTTGCTTACAGTTTCAGAGGGTTAGTTCCTTGTCTTCACGGTGGGAGCATGGCAGCAGGCAGGCGGGCATGGCGCTGGAGAAGGAGCTGCAAACTTACATCCCATGCATGGGCACAAGGCGGAGAGACAGAGACAGGGAATGAGACAGACAGAGGCAGAGAGAGAGAGACTGGGCCTGGAGTGGGATTTTGAAACCTCAAAGCTCACTTGCAATGACATACTCGCCTCCAGCAAGGCTGCGCTACTGAAACCTCCCCAGACGGCACCCACCATCTGGGAAGCAAGTCTTCAGATACCCAAACCAACGGGGCCATGTGAAACTCAAACTACCACCCTAAGGAACCAACTTGGCGTTTAGCAACCGGTCTGATAAAATGACACAGTGGCGATCATCAAGAACACTGACAATAATATTAGGAGAGGATGCAGGCAAAAGGAACCCTTATTCACTACTTGTAGGAGTGCCAATTAGCACACCCACTAAGGAGTTCTCACTGAACTCGGAGCTCACCAGCAAAGCCCAGGGATCGCCCGGTCTCTGCCTCCCTAGTGTGTGGTTATGGGTGTGCACTGCTCTACCCAGCTGTTGTGTGTGAGGACTGAGCTCAGCAGTGAGCACTTTTAACAACTAAGGGAGGTACAGACATGTCTTTAGTGATGTATACATAATTTTGTCTCTTTTTATGATACAGGGTCTCATTATGAAGCCCTACCTGTTCTGGAACTGGCTATTTAGACCAGGCTGGCCTCAAACTCACAGAGATTCTCCTGCCTCTGCCTCCTTCATAAATACATTTTATCATTTTTTTTAATTTTGTGGTAGTTTGTTTTATGACTCAGAACATGGCTTATGGCCCTTGGTGGTCATTTATTGGGCATGTTAAAAGAATATATATTCTGCTCCTGTTGGATGGAGTGTTCTACAAACGCCCATTGGAGTCTTTTGTTGGAGCCCATTGGAGTTGTTGGTGCTGCTGAACCCTATCTCTATTTCTAAAGGGCTTTTCTTTTCTTTCATACTTTTAAAAAAAATTTATGTGTATGGACAGATGTCCATACCTGCATGTATGTCTGTGCCCCTCCTACATGCAGTGCCCAAAATGGCCAGAAGAGGGCATCAGTTCCCCAGGACTGGGGTGACTGAGGGTTGTGAGCTCCCTGTGGGTGCTGGGAACTGAATCCTGATCCTGTAGAAGAGCAGCCAGTGCTCTTAACTGCTGAGTCCTTGCTCCAGCCCTGAACAAGGCTTTTGATTAACATACTTCTCAAGTCTATATAGTCTACTTTATTCTTTTTAATAATTAGTGTTTCTTTCCTGATCTTTCACCATTTTTATATTCATACGTAATTACTCCTTAAGTATTTTGGATACTTTGAAAGCTGTGTCGGGGCAGGGTATGGTGATGTCCTCTTTCAATCCCAGGACTTGGGAGCGAAGGCAGGCCAGTCTCTGTGAGTTCCAGGCCAGCCAGTGAGACTCTATGTCAAAATAGAGGGGAAGGGGACTAGGTTGTAGTTCAACTGGTAGAGAGCTTGCCTAGAATGCACACGGCCGTGGGCTTGAGCCCAGCACTGATATGTTATCATGGTGGCACATGCCTATGAGCCCGGAAACAAGGAAGGTAGAAGCAGAAGGATCAGCAGCTTAAGGTCATCACCAACTTAGGAGAAAGTTTGAAGCTAGCCTGGACTACTTGAAACCTTGTCTCAAACCAAACAAACAAACAAACTAATATGAGAGGTCTTTATGAGGGAGGCAGAGGGAAGAGAATCTCTGTGAATTTGAGGCCAGCCTGGTCTACAGAGTGAGTTCCAGGACAGCCAGGACTACACAGAGAAACCCTGTCTCAAAAATATATATTATTGTAGCATATAGTAGGTGGAAATCTTGACGAGGCTACAGTCTGAAAGCAGCCCACGTCTACCCTTTGCCACATGCAGCTGCTAAGCACTGCTGGGTCTCCAATGCTGACCCATGAATGCAGAGGTTCTCAACCCATGGGTCTCGACCCTCTTGGGGGTCCCATATCAGATATCCTGTACATCAGATATTTATAGTACAATTCATAACAGTAACAAACTTACAGTTATGAAGTTGCAATGAACTAACTTTATGGCTGGGGGTCACCACACCATGAGGAGCTGTATTAAAGGGTCACAGCGTTAGGAAGGGTGAGAACCATTGCACTAATCAGATTGCTTGTTTATAGACGCCGTGACTAGTAATCTCATCTGGTGCAGCATCCTCTTACACGTTACACCCCTGACTGCCTGGTTCCCTGCTTACTCCCCTGCTCACCTTCTTACCCCCGGATCATCTGCCCGTTTACACACCCGCGTGCCAGCACCCACTTACCTGCTGTCTTAGCGTGCCCGCTCAGCCGTTGCCTGCTCCATCCTTCACAGTTTATGTGGACGGATTTCTGTGTGTGCGTGTTTGTGTGTGTGCAGGTGCACTGTGAAGGCCAGAGAACAACCTCTGGTATCATTCTTCAGGTACCTTGCTCTTTAAGAGTCAGCGTCTCAGCTGGGCGGTGGTGGCGCACGCCTTTAATCCCAGCACTCGGGAGGCAGAGCCAGGCAGATCTCTGTGAGTTCGAGGCCAGCCTGGGATACCAAGTGAGTTCCAGGAAAGGCACAAAGCTACACAGAGAAACCCTGTCTCGAAAAACCAAAAAAAAAAAAAAAAAAAAAAAAAAGAGTCGGCGTCTCTCCATCATAGTCTGGAACGTGGCATGTCAGCTAGGCTGGCTGGCCAGGGAGCCCCAGGGGTCTGCTTGTCCTTACCACCCCAGCTCTGGGACTGCAGATACTGGCACTCAGTTCTGGGATCAAACTCAGATCTTCATATTTGTATGACTAACCCTTTACCAGCTGAGCTATCTCCGCAGACCCCCGCCCCCTTTTTTAAGTCTCGCTGTATAGCCCTGGCTGACCTCAAATTCGCTACCCTCCTGTTTTCCGCCTGCCTCAGCTGGGTCACAGGTGTGTGCCACAGTTAATTGTTACTAATACAATTCCACACATCAGTGATTATAAGCTTACTCAAGCCCACGCTTACCTGTGTACAGCCAGGTCTGGTGGGGTCCACTGGTGGGGGCGGGGGGATTTCCGAGACTTCAGTTTCTGGTCTCAAGTCCAGCAGTCGGCTCCTCTCGCCTCTGGCTTCTGCCTCGTGCCTGCTTGTCTGGCCCGAGGCCCCGGCTACACCCCTGACGGTCGCCAGCATATTTCCTATGCTCTGCACATTTTTGTGGAATTTTTCCCCTTCATTTCCACTCTGGAAGGAAAATAGGTTAGAGAACATGTGCATTCATGGCCTGAGTGTGGTGTTCTGTGCATTCTCTCCTCCTCAGTCATTTTGGCAAGTGGCCTGCCTTCAAATGCCTCTGCTGGAAATCTCAAATCAGACACAGCCGGTTTTCTTTCTGCTTTTTCTTTCCTTTCCTTTATTTTTTTTTATTTTCTTCTATTAGAGAGAGAGAGAGAGAGAGAGAGAGAGAGAGAGAGAGAGAGAGAGAGAAAGAGAGAGAGAAAGTGTTCACATGCACCACAGTCCATGTGTGAGGGTCGAAGGACAATCTCCCCTCCCTCCACTTAGGTTCCAGGGATTGAACTCAGGTTCTCAGCCTTGGCGGCAAGCACCTTCACTTGCTGGGCCCTCTTGTCCTCCCTAGAGTTGCCTTTAAACTGGTGGGGGCTGGCTCTGTGGGTGGCATGTTCGAGATCTTCTCAGGGTTCGAAAAACATCCTGTGTCTGGTGGCGAGGAAAGGGGAGGCGCACGGGGCTGAGGGTCCCTAATTCAGTGTCCAGATAGACCTTGGCCCCTCTACATAGTCCGTCCTTCCCTGTGTGACAGTAGTGTGGGGAGACACATAGAGGCAAGATCCATACTGCTCTTACACTGGACCCCCCTCACTGAGCTCTTCCCAACCGAACCAAGATCTCTGCAGACATTCATTCTCTCTCTCTCTCTCTCTCTCTCTCTCTCTCTCTCTCTCTCTCTCTCTGTGTGTGTGTGTGTGTGTCTGTGTCTGTGTCTGTGTGTGTGTCTGTGTGTCTGTGTGTCTGTGTGTCTGTGTCTGTGTTTCCCAATCAGACTAAGATCTGTGGAGACATCCACACCCCACTAGAGAAGTCTCGTAAAAGCTGCTGAGCACCATTCTCAGACGGGGGTCCCTCCTGGTGCATCAGAATCGTTCCAGTGTTGGTTAAAAGTTGCTGGACTCCAGCCCAGCTCCCAGCCTAGGAGTCACCACAGGGCGGTTTATACAGGATCGCCCACATGGGGGTGGTGGAGACAGTTTCCTCACAATCCGTTCTCCACATAATGGATTCTTGTTTGTCTCCAGTGTGGACTCCAGCATCACCTCCATCGTGAAGCTTCCTTGATTAACCCACAAAGAATCCATTGTCTCATTTCACATTCCTCAGGACCTGACCCAGGACTCTGCGTGTGGTAGATGTTCATGTTTAAAAAGAAAACCAGGGGGCTGGGGGCTGGTTCGGCTGGTACAGTACCTGCCAGGCAAGCACAAGAACCTGAGTTCAGAAAACCAGCACCCACATAAAAAGCCAGGGATGGGCCTGTAGCCCCAGCTGGGGACAGGGATGGGTGAGTGAACAGAGGCAGATCTCAGAAACTCATTGGCCAGCCTAGCCTAATAGATAAGCTTTGGGATCTAGTGAAAGACTGTTTCAAATTAATAAGGGAGAACAAAAGGACTCAACATCCCACTAGAGAGACACTTGCTCATCCATGTCCATTGCTGCTTTATTCGTAATTGCCAGAAATCGGAAACAGCCTAGATATCCGTCAATAGATGAACAGATAATGAAAATGTGCATTTGCATAATTGAATATTATTCAGCTATTAACTGAAAAATGAAATTATGAAAATTGCAAGTAAATGGATGGAGCTAGAAAAATATCATCCTGAGTGAGGTAATCAAGACCCCCCCAAAAAAAACCCCAAATATTGTATGTTTTATCTTATATGTGGATGTTACCTTTCAAGCCTTCAATTAGTGTGCTACAATCTGAATAACCACAGAGGTTAGGTACCTCGTAAGGGACCGGGTGGGAACAGAGGCTCTCCTAAGACGGGGAAATAGGATATAGTGTTGTGGGGCGACAAAGGGGGAAACTCACAGGAGGGTTAAGTGGGGCAGGGGAAATGGAAGAGAAGGGTAAAGAAGGGGACACCGGCGGGGGGGGGGGGACAGCTAACATGACAGGCCACTTGAAAAATCATATGGAAACCTGCTGCTGTGGAAGCAACCTAAAACATACACATATATGAAAGGAATCTAAATAATTACCAAATAATAAGGCAGACAATGCCCTAGCTAGCAAGTGAAACCTCCAGAACCAGGGATGGGTTGCATCCTTAGCCAAAGAGGCCCCGTGGAAACCCCCAAACATCACCGACTATTGCCAAGATTGTTGATTGTTCTCACGACCTGATGATAAGGCCAAAGGGCAGGAGACAGCACTTATGTGGGTCATCACACAAAAAAGTCCAGCTGGTGCCCATCTAGGGCCTTCACCCCCTGCTGACTGGCTCTCGTGGTACTGGAAGGTACTCTGCACCTTACTGGAGAGAAAAGTAATCATCGGTATCCCCCAGCTACAAACCCTGAGACCTACGACAGCGACCTGCTTGTAGGATATACCGGTGCAGTAGTGGCACAAATGTTTTAGGCGTTACCAACTACTTTTTTTTGCGGGGGGGGGGGGGGGGGGGGGGGGAGGCTTTTTCCAGACGGTTTCTCTGTGTAGCTTTGTGCCCTTCCTGGAACTCTCTTTGGAGACCAGGCTGGCCTCGAACTCACAAAGATTCGCCTAGCTCTGCCTCCCGAGTGCTGGGATTAAAGGCGTGCGCCACCACCGTCCGGCCGTACCAACTACTTTTTGCTTGGACTTAAGGCCTACTCTATGGGATGGAACCCATACCTACAGTGCTAGTGTCCAAGAACCTGAGAGTAAATAGGTCATGGGCCCAGCTGGAAAGCTAATACTATTATTCTGCTAAAGGAACGTAAAAATAAAATGACTCCTCATGACATACTGCTATACCATAGACCAGTGCCTCGTTCAGCCTTCATGAAAGAGGCTTCTTCTTTGTTTGTGTGTGTGTGTGTGTGTGTGTGTGTGTGTGTGTGTGTGTGTGTGTGTATTTTCAGAGCTGAGGACTGAACCCAGGGCCTTGTGCTTGCTAGGCAAGTGCTCTACCACTGAGCTAAATCCCCAACCCCAGAGGCTTCTTCTTGATGCAGATGGTGATTGACACAGAGACTCCCAGCTGGACAACGTGCAGAGAGTGAGAGACTTTGTATCACCCAGTCCTAAATGGAATGTCTGCAACAAAGCCCTTCCCTCAAGGCTCAGGGATCTATTCGGAACAGGAGACAGAAAGATTCTAAGAGCCAGAGGTGATGCATGATCCCAAGGAAATAGTGTCTTCCAGACACAACAGGACTGACACAGACACAGTGGCAGCATTATACGGGGCCTGCACAGGTTCAAGCCAGATGGGGTCCCAGCCCTAACCAAGAGAGAGGGTAGTGAATGGGGGACCTGGACATGGGCTCCCACCCCTAACCAAGAAGCTATCTGCAACTGATTCCTGCTGGCAAAGGGAATATTAGTCTTCTCCAATATGTGGCATATTAACCACATCTCAAGGCAAAGCCCGTGCCCAGGAGTAGTTGGTCAATACAACACAACCTCAATGGTATTTTGTAGACTTTTGACTTCTCCCCTGGGAAGGTAACGGTCAGAGATGAGAGCCTTCTTTTGAGTCTAGGTCAGCAGATCTTAACCAGGCTTGATTTTCTCTCCCAGGGAACATCTGATAATGTGTGGAGATGTTTAGAACTGTTACTCCTGGGGAAGGGCTGGCGGCATTAGCTAGCAAAGGGCAGGAATGCTACAAAACATGCCTCAATCCTCAGGACACAGAATGATCCAGCCCAACATGACAACAGTAACTTGACAGGTTGGCCCAGGCCTAGGCTGTCACCAGGAAAGTTACATGAGTCAAACGCATTAGTGGCATGAACAGTGAAATGCTGGGTTGAATGTTAAAGTCTGAAAGCTTTCTGGAAGCCTCGGGCTACTGGTGGGGTTTCAAGAATTCTGCACTCCATGAGGAATTTCCAGCTAAATGCAGAAGATATAAACCGTGGGGCCAGAGTTTATGTTTTATGGAGTGAGATCCTTGTCAAATGAGCTAACAAGTCCTCTTTCTTTTAAAAAAAAAAAGTTTTTAATTTAAAAAATAAAACAAAGCACTATTCCATAGTCTGCTTTTCACCATTGGGACAGCCTGTGTCCAGAAAAGCCAGGGCCTTTTGATATCACAGAAATCCAGAGCTGGGTCTCCTGGGTATCCAGTCAGCCTTGGTCTTTTGGCTCTGTGATTTGCCGAAGACAAAACTTAGAAGCAAGATGACGTGATAAGGCTTTTACCAACTCAGACCCAAACAAAATCAAGCTTCAGTAGTCTCCCTTAGCTCTGTATCTGGCCAGCTGTGTGGCCCTGGAAAGCCACTTAACCCCTGTGAGCTCCAGATTCCCCTAAGGATCTATAAAATGGGGATAATAATAGTACCGACCTCACAGGGCTGTGATGTAAATTGGAAGAGTTAGTATTTAAAGAATGTTTGGAACACTATCAGGCAGCATAGTAAATGCTATATATAGGAGGCCATCGAGCCCAGTTTGCCTGGAACCCCCTTGGTTTTAGGCTGAAAGTCCAGCATCTCAGGAATCTCCCTGCCCCCAGGCCTGGTGTGGCTCACACATCTCTAATCCTATAACTTGGGAGGCAGAGAAAGGCCCATCTCTGCTGTCTCTGTGAGTCTGCTCTCCATGGTGAGTTCCTGGCCATCCAGGGTACATGATGAGACCCTGTCCCCAAAACACAAATAGCAACAACAAAATAAGAAAATCCCGGGGCTGGAGAGATGGCTCAGTGGTTAAGAGCACATGCTGTTCTTCCAGAGGACCCGGGTTCAATTTCCAGCACCCACATGGCAGCTCACAATTGTGTGTAACTCCAGGATCTGACACCCTCACGCAGACATACACATGTAGGCAAAACACCAATGCACATAAAATAAAAATTAAAAAAAGAAGAAAAGAAAACCCCATAGTCTGTGCAGAGCAAGAAGGGAGCTCATCTTGATTACATAGGCACAACTTTTCTAAAACCAAACAGAAACCTCTCAGCCCAGGGTGTCATTCAGTGGTAGAACCCTTGGCCTAGCATGCGTGAGGTTCTATGCCCAGCACCTAGAAAACCAA